CCTTGGGAACAGAACTCATTCTTAAACTGGGGACTATCTTTACATAAAGTGCTACATACATCATAAAAAATAGCAATTAAAAGCAGTTTAAAGAGTTTAAAAGAAGAAAAGGAAATGGAGAGGAGGAAATTTGAAAGGTGTCAAACAAATGCAATTTTATGGGACAATATTTGCAAGCATATTATCCCTGATGGACAAATTTGATGGACAAATTTTTGCAGCAAGGCAAAATTTGGCTACATTACGGATAATAGTGGTTATGTTGTGCTAGAACAGTGTTTCTTAAACTTTTTGTTCTCAGGACTCCTTCCCACTTGTAAAAATTATGGAGGAGCTTTTGATTGTATGGGTTATATTTATGGATATTTATTGTATTAAAAATTAAAATCGACACATTTGTAGAATATTTATTGAAACATGTAAAACTAACTATAGTATTATAATATCTAATAGCATTAGATATTAACATAAATAAAATATTGTTCATGAAAAAAAACTATTTTTTAACAAACAAAAATAACGAGAAGAGTGACATTGTTTTAAATTAATTTTTAAAAATTCAATATCTGGCAAGTAATTTTGATTTTGTGGACCCCTGAAAGGGTCTTGGGGGACCCACAGGTGTCCTCAGACCACACTTTAAGAAACGCTGTCCTGGAAGATAGGAGATGTACTGGTGATTGTCTTTCCCTAGGAATTCCTTTATGAGGGACTGAATTAGTACATCACACAGGTTCAAGTAGAAATTACAGCACAACCAGACCTAATAATAAATGGTAGGTCATCTATAAGGAGCATCTGGGCATGGGGTGCATCTGAGAAATCAGGAAATCTACTGATCAGAGGTAGGACAAATCTGGTTTGAATGTCTCTATAAAAGGAGCCACGAAGAACCTGTTCTGTGGTTTTCCACCTCTTCAGAATCACAGAGCCTACTTTTTAATAGCTGCCGTCCAAAACTGCAGAGGGGAGAGCCGTGACATCAGGCGAGGGAGAAGGCCTTCGTATGGCTGGGTGTTTCTAGCTATGTGAGATAGCCAGCAGTGGTGACTCAAAGGGGAGCTGTAACAAATTAATAACAATTTATGTTCAAAGCCATTTTTTAAGAAAACCAAAAAATGAGGCCATCTTAAAGAGCATCCAGCAGGGCGAATCTCAATCAGGACAGGACAACTCCATTGGCCAAAGAGAAGAAGCAGAAACACGTGTGTAACAAAAATCTCACTTTCAGGGTCAGCCAAACATTTTTGACAATCCACGTCTTCTTTCAAACAAAATAGGCTGATCTGAAAGTGAACTCAGAAGGTACGTGTGGTGACTCACGGATGAATCACCTGCCTCTTGTGGAAATTAGTCTGCAGGAAAAAATACCTACATAAAGAAGTTAAACTTCTGAGTTACTTTTCAATGTTCACTTTCAAGTTACTAAGTTTCAGCACATGAGGGAACCCAAATGCTGAGGATGCGGAAGACCCAGTGATGGCTTTCTTATATTCTTATGCTTCCCAGGTCAGACTCTGCCAAATGGTTTTCCACATCTCCCTTTCGTACTGCAGTTTTTGCTCTTGTATTGAAAACAGTGTGATTTCCCTCCACAACTTTCAAAACCACGATTTGTTGAACAAGACAGTGGCCTGGCTTTTAAAGAACGTGAAACCTAAAACTCCTTGTGGCTTAATGTCAGTCTGTACAAACCAAACTATGACACTTCAGCAGGGGGAGGGCCAACGTACATGCTTTGCACACAAGCAGCCTTGGGTTCAGTCCCTGGCATTGCCACTTGAAAGGTGAGACAGCAGATGTCGGAAGACCTATGGCATCTCTAATACAGACCAGAGGTCATAATCCTGGCTCTGCTGGTTGGAAACACAGAGTGCATAATTCATGTGTGGAATTCATTACTGCAATATATGATGGGCACCAACTTAGATGACTTTAAGAGGATTGTGTATATTCCTGGAGGACAGGTCTACTGAGGCTGGCTGCCAGTGCTGGGTCCTAGCAGCATGATACCCCCTAGTATGATTTGTTTGGTTTATGGCTGCAAGCCCTTTGAGCAGAAAGGTAAAATATAACCAATAGAGTAACTGATAATCATAGGGTGAAAACTCAGTCCACTGAGATTTCCTCAATAAATCATAGCTGAGCCAACCATGGTTTTAATTTAGCTCAATTGATGAGCCATGCTACTTTTGACCTTCTAGATCACTCAAAGCCCACCTTGGAGAAGAGCAACAAGCCAAGGCAACAACGGTCATCCGCCATCCCAGCCCTGAGCCCCTTTCCCTGAAGAATGACCTCATGCTTCTGTGACTATATCCCCCTCCCATCTTGGGAGGCAAAGTCCACATCACTCCAAAGGCTGCAACATGCACTGGGACCAAGTACAAAGGGTCAGGATGGGGCACCACCACATTTCCTAAAGGTAGGGAAAAAGTCAGGGAGCCCCAATTTATGTGGGGGAAGGCCCTACCCTGAGTATTTCTTCTGTGTTTCCCCATTAATTACTTTCCTTCAGTTTGGTGAAAAATGCATTGCTTTTGATTTTTTCCCCTCTCCCTCTAAAGGAGAAGGAAATTTCAGTGAAAAATTCCTAGTTAGTATAGAGAATCATACAAGGAGAAGTCCTCCTGGTCTCAGAATACATCCGTCAGTCCACGCAGTTATCTCAGCAACAGCGTAGAAGCCATTCGCCACTACATTCTTCTTTGGCTTCTCAGTTTAGACTATAACCCTGATACTCCTTGTATTTCAGTGTGTTAAAGTTGAGAAACACTGATATAGGGGCTTAGCAGAATATGCAGCCCCAGACATTTGGGACTCAGCTAACCAACTGTGGCTTAAGATGATACGTGAATCAGTTCACTGTGTTTCCTAATGTTGGTCTGAGAAATGAGATCTGGTACTTGTAAGGGGAGAGTCCAAAATTCAGATAGCTAAGGCATAAATCCCCAAATAGCCTGGTTTTTATCCACTCAGTCCAAGATTCTTGTTGCAGGAAACTATGCCTACATCCTGCAATGCGCGGAGACGCAAATCATCTCAAAAGTTGCGTGCCAGTCAGTATACAAACCTACTTTATGGACAATGAGATTTGTGCAGGAGTAATAGGAGGTATAGATTCATGCCAGATAAGATGCAATCATCATAGATTTGAAAGCCAGTGCAGTATAATGGTTAAGGTGCTGAACTAGGACCAGCAAGAGTTGGGTTCAAACCCACAGTGGGCTTGCTGGGTGACTTTGACCCAATCACTCATCGGTCTCCCTCTTTTAGCCCACCCTAACTCACAAGGTTACCATTGTGGGGATGAAATAGTAGGAAGGATCACTGTGTATGTACCCTTGAACTCCTGAATGAAAGGTGGGACATAAATGTAAGAAATCAATTAATCAATGATTGGAGAAGGCAAGTGAGTAAAAAAAGGCACAAACGGCTGTCGCCCAATTAATGACAAAAGTCAGGAAGAGCCTGGTAGCACTTTTTCCAACTAACAAGTTTTATTAAAAGGCATAAGCTTTCATGAACTGTAGCTCACAAAAACTTATGCCTTTTAATAGAATTTGTTAGTTGGAAAAGGTGCTACCAGATTTCTTCCGATTAAAGAGAGCAATTTGTAAGAGAGAAAGGCAGGAAACTTAGACGAGTGAGCAGATGATCCATCACGACCACAACTCTACCAGCAGAAGATGTGCAGGAGTGCATTATCTTCAGATATCTGGTTTCAAACTAGAGTAAGTGATAGACTATTCTTGATGTTTCTGGGAGGAGTGGAGCAGCTTTGGATCCAGAAGATCCAAGGCCACCTCTGACCCAAACCACTTCAGATCTTTCCACCCACTGGATCCAACCCCATGACAAATATACAGACCTTGAAACCCAATTCCTAGCATTCCAGAGAGATGGCAGCTTCTTAGATAAGCTCCTTAAGAATTAACATTTTACAAAGAGGCATGCAAGGAAACAGATTTAAATTCAAAAAACTTCAGGAGAAATTACTTAGTGCTAACAGCCCTCCAGCCATGGAAAAATTGACTTTGAGAGGCACTCCCTCACTAGAGGTAATGATCAAGAATTCAACTCTCATGGAATTCAACTCTCATGGATGCTATGGCTGAGTGAACATCCCCCAAGCTCTCTTCCTTCCAAGAAACGACTCACTGCAACTAGAAACCTTACATGATTGGCACTGTTCCTCCACCAATTCTTTTCTTAGTGGGAGATGAAGGAAAGGTCCATTCTACCAAATTACATTCTGCTGAGAAAGATTTGGTTTCCCTTTAGGGCCAGTTCTCCAAGAATGTCCATTTCCAATGGTTTCCCTTTAGGGCCACATATTTCAGAGCTCTTAGACAACAGTCTGCATTATTCCTTTATGCCAAAGTCCACTGGAGTTGGGCAGCCAATAAATTTAAATAAATACATACATAAATATAAGCAACTCCAGAGCTGTGGAATAGCTCTGAATGAAAGGGCAAGTCTTAATTCATACTGAGATAGGGACAGAAGTCTGACTTTCCCGTACCCAGCTAGCTGGCAGGATCTAGCCAAACTTAGCTGATCTTGAAACAGGTACACAGTGGGACCTGGTTGGGATTTGGACAGACCTCCAGAAAATCCCACAGGTAGAAATGGAAAAGATGGCAGTAGAAAAATACTTCCATATTATTGCCAAGAAAACTACTTGATGTGGGCTCTGCAGTTGAGCTCGATTTGACAAAGTCTTTACCTTTTTAACGATTATCCCATAACACAAGAAATTTGCAAAATTTGGATCTACATTGGAGTGTCTATGGGATTGATGTGTCAGAAAATTGCCAAAAGCAAACCACAGATTGGCATATACATGTACTGACGCTTCAGAGACACGTCACACATCCCACTAAGCTGTAATTTGTTTGGCTAGGATTCAGCACAGTTGGTAAATTTGGCAAACTAGGGCTCATTACCTGCATATTGTGCATACCAAGCCCAGTATTGAGACTTTTTCAGTAACTCTTGCTTTAGCATGTTTGTGAGAACCAGGTTAGGGGCTGAGCATACCCAGAATTTCAGATAGGAGTTTTTTAACAACACGGTTTGGGGTTTGGCTTGCATAAAACACTGTAATGATTTGGTTCACACCTCTTGCTAAGGCAAACAAAACAAAACACAGAGTAGTCTGGCAAAATGCATGAATCTGGCAACCAAGTCTGTTAAAAGTGGGGTTGAGTGGCACGTCCAAGGGTTTAATGAAGAAAAAGAGGGGAGCTGCAGAGGGGAGAGCCACGAAGGCCATGAATGTCTACCCCACACTGATGCACAGAGTTTAACCCCCGGTATCTCCAGTTTAAAACAAAAACCCACTCCCTGTAGAAAGGAGCAACTTCAACCTGAGATCTTCAGAGGGAACAGCCATCATGGATGGTCTGGTCTAGGTGGGGTTCAAACAGCTTCTTATGACCCTCAATTGCACAATTCAAGACCAGAAGGGAAGATCCCTATTGGGCAATGGTCAAAAGCTGGGTTCAGTAAGCTTTAAAACGATTATTCTGAAACAGGAAAAACTCTCCTGGAGGACCATCCTTAAACGTTGTGGCCACCACCACCACTTTGGGAGGCAGCAGCAATGCTCAGAAAGCAGCCTCCCCACACAACTTAGAGCCCTCCAGATGTTTGCACACTATCTTCACAACCCCCAGCCAACAGGAGCAAAGGCTGGATGGGGCTCAAGGGACCTGAAGCCCAACACACCCAGAGGGCTCCTGATCAGGGAAGGGCAGCACAGAAAGTGTGGTTGCTGCTTCTTTGACGCAAAAGCAGCAACCACCACGACTGGGGATCCAATGACCTTTGCAAGATGGCTGCTGAGCAACCATCACTATTGTCCATACTGCCTGGGACGGCTGGGAGTTGTGGTCCAGCAACTGGGATGGGGGTGCACTGCTTCCTGACCCCCAAATCTATGCTGTTCCTTCTTAAGAGTCTTTTTCCCCCCTTAATCTCCATCCCACCTCAGCAACCCTGAGCAGGAAAAGGGGGCATAAAAGGAGGGAGCTCAGAAGTCTATTGTCCTTCCAACTCGTGAGTTCTCTTCTGTTTCTAAATCAGCCCTTGGCTTTTCCCCCTCCAACAAAGCCTTCTGCAGGCGGTTGGTTTTGCCAATGGCCAGCTTAGGGAGCCCACGGTTGAGCCCTTCCAGCAGCACACACGCTTTGCAAAGGGGCTGACTGGAGAAGTAGCCACACCGCCGGCAGGTGCCCTGGACAGGCAAGCGAACATCTTTGCGCACAGCCAGCCGTTCCCCTGAGTGCACCAGGTCAGCCACCGAGCTGGGCCGGATAGCTTCCAGATCTTTGAGCAGGGCACGGACGTGGCCCCGGTAGGCATTGGGGGCGTAGACGCACTCGGTGCTGAAGTAGTCCAAGCCCTGGAAGTAGGCGTAGAGCACGATCTCTTTTTCGTAAGCGTGCTTCAGCGGCTTGCAGCGGGGCAGCGCTCCCTCGCCCCCCGTCAGGATTTCGGCACAGCGTTGAAGCCGCCCGACGTCCCCCCGCAGGAAATTCATCAGGATTGTCTCAGCCACATCGTCGGCGTTATGACCTAGGAAGCAAAGCGGAGTGGAACCGGGTGGATAAAATGGAGCAACAGCCTTTCTGGTCTTCTTTTAAGGGAGTCAGCAGCAAACTCAACCCAGTTCCTCAGGAGCTGCCAGACAGCGGGTCTGGGTTTACCAGCAAGTCCTTGGCTAATCAATAATATGCACGGAAAGCAATACTTTAACAACTCAAAGACTTTGAGATTTTCAAAATTAAGGCGCAACATTGAGAAGGAAGAAACCCAGGTCTTTTAACTTTTAACTCCCAGCTCAGTTCTGGAGCTGAAAACGAATGTCTTGTCTCTGCACATGCTCAGCAGCACTCTTGCTACAGATTGTTCAGTGAGACACAGTTGGTCAGGTTCATAAACCTCTCAGCTATACAACAGGCTGCGTTTGCACAACATGCTAAATCCAAACCAAAATAAACACCTTACCTAATATGGTACCAGAACTTAGCCTTAATACAACAAGTCACAGAAGTAAATCTTTCCCATGATTATCCTTCCAAAGGCTTTACTGGGCATTACTAACTTTTAAAGGAGGGGACAGTTAATCTAATAGTTACATTCAAACAACATGCTAACCTCCATTTGTTAAACCTTGGTTTATTCAAAAAACCATAACTGCTTAGGCTCACACAACATGGTAAACCAAAGCAAACACAAATCACAATATGGTTAGCATGTTGTGCAGACCCAGGATAGTACCTACTGATTGGAGCAACCTGCTGCTCTCCAGATGTTCTGAATACAACTCCCACAATTCTTGCCATTGGCCATACTGGCTATAGCTTATGGGAACTGAAGTCTGAAACATTTGCACATCCAGTCTCACCTGCGAGCAAGATGCATTAAAATCAACGGGATTTACTTCTGAGTAGAAAGTCAACACAGGGGTTGTTCATCAGCATCCTTTCCTAAAATCTTGGCGGCCTTTCAAACAAATAGATACGTGGAGTCCTTGGGGTTCTCTGGGCTTGGCTGTTTCCATGCAAACGTTTCATTACCGGGCTAGGTAACATCTTCAGTGCTAGAACGGGAGTGGGGGTTGCTCTCTGTTTATATACTGTGGCCTGCCCTGCCAGTGTTGGGGGGGGGGGTTGTTTTGTTTTATTTTTTCCCTCTGGTAGTTTCCTGATTAGGGTATTGTTTACTGCTTGATTGTATGCCTGTGGCAATCTTAGTGTTAATCTCTGCTGATCTGGGTGATGATTGCTGGTGAGGAGATGTTCTGGTCTTTCTATTGTCTCTTTTGATAGATAGATAGTGGAGTCCTTGGTGATCTCTGAGCGTTTGCTTGCAAATCAAATCAAATCACATCTTGAATACAGTCAAAGACCAGCATAATTGTTTGCTTGCAGATGTTTCATTACCCAACTAGGTAACATCATCAGTGCGCCTAGTTCGATACCTGTTTGGGTAATGGAATGCCCGCGAGCAAACAGCCAGGCTCAGAGAGTCTCCACAGCTCGACCCTGAGCTACAGCTGTTCTCTTCCACTGGATCAAGCGGGTACGACTGATCTGCTGCAGCGTCCGGCTGGTGCTGGGCTGGCCTTTTCCCCCTCTCCCCCCTGCGCGCGCTCCGAGACCCGCAGGCGTTTTGCGCCGGGTTCCCCCCGGCCCGGCCCCGCTACCTGTGGCGATCTTGTCCGCCCCGAGCAAGACGGCGCCGCGGTCCAGCGCCTGCCTCCGGAAGACGCCGCAGAAGGTGCAGTTGTTCCTGGAGCCGGTGTGCCGGACGATGCGGTCCATGCTCCAGCCGTAGAGCTCCTGGTAGGAGACCACGTGCAGGGGCAGGCCCAGGCGGCCCCGGCTGCGCCGGACGGCGGCCAGCGAGTCGTCCCGGTAGCCGGCGATGCCCTCGTCCACGGACAGCAGCAGGAGGCGCAGGCCGTAGCCGTGGCGCTCGTTCAGCAGGCGCAGCACGTGCGCCAGCACCGTGGAGTCCTTG